CCCGGTGCAATAACAGACATTCAGCAGTGAGCCTCAGTGTTTATAATACAATAGGAGATTATATGAGTATAAGATGTTACACTGGACCTACACTTATATCGTCAGTAATAGCAGAACTTCAGTAACGCTAAATAAATGGATCAGAAAACTTTTATTCGTCGGTTTGACTCTACAAAACAACCTAGTGAGCAACCCCAGCTGCTGGGTGCTAATCAAAGTTACAGAATAATACTAATGAATCCCTGCAGTTCGACTATTTCTCTCTCACTCTCTTCCCGGTTCTATGCAGCTCAACGAGCTAACAGCTGATGAGCGGCTGCAGTTTGTTCACTCGGAGGTTTTCTGCTCTTTCTAACAGCGACACAAACATATTACTGACTGAGCACTTTAACTAAATACAGACCAACATAAAGCCAATTACCTCCGGTCACAAACCCACAACAGTTACAGAGTTACAGAGCCCCCCCCCCCAGCACGAAGCTTGGTGACATCTGCACCAGCTGGCTTAATAAATGAACCTCACCTTATAAGTTTCATGTTCATCTTGCACACATTTAACAAACATTTAACAAACATTTAACAAACATTTAACAAACAATAACTACGTTAGCATCACTGAGGCTCCTGCAGCTAACAGCGGTTAGCTTGTGCTAGCATTACACGAACAATAAAAACAGCATAAACTCTTAAAAATACTTACAGTGACTTCCTCTGCCGTCTCTCCACAGACAGTTGGTACAATCCCTCTTTCAGGAACAGTCTGTCAGTCAGTCCACTGTTGTTCTGACCGAGGTTGTGAAAACAGTCCAACACGAAGGTTCACACACATTCCGGTTTTTCTGACTCTAGTCGGACATTGCCGTAAAAAAAATCATAAAAATATTTGCATATATTTGCATATGTAAATTTGGGTTGGGCTGTGCAGCCATTGACTGAACAGTTTGTCTGCTGAGGCCTTTGCCCAGGCATCAGGCTGCTGGCTGGACTGGCTGGACTTGTTCTACGCTAGCTTGCATTTTACAGTAGCAAGGCGGAGATAGTCAAAGAGTAAAGAGAGGTGGGGCAACAGGCAGAGCATGCGACGTGTTCCTGATTTCTCTCCTGTATTCTGACTGAGGCAGCCCACAAAAACATGACTGAGTCATTTTTTTCACACTTTGCCTGCTGATAGGCCCTCCAGATTCCCAAATGTACATAATCAAATGATTAAAAAGTTGGTTTTGCATAATATGTCCCCTTTAAATCTGCAAATTCACTGCTAGATGTCATTAAATTCTAAAAGCTTGTCCTTTAAATCAGCAGCTAAAATCTGCTAATCCCAGTCCTATGTGCTCAAGTAAGGGCTATTCCCAATCCCAACCCCCCCCAAATTATGTCTACCTCCAACTCCGGAACTACTTTGATAGGACATTAAAAGGACTTCTGGGAAGGGGTTCAAAGTATTATCAGAGAAGTCTTGTAGTATAATTTTTTATTTTTTAAGTTTTTTTTGGCTTTTATTGTCTTTATTTGACAGGACAGCTGAAGAAAGACAGGAACGGGGGGCAGAGAGAGAGGGGATGACATGCAGCAAAGGGCCACAGGTCAGATTCGAACCCTGGGCCGCTGCAGCAGGGACATGGGTCACCAGCTCTACCGAGCTAACTGGGCGCCCCCCTCTTGCAGTGTAATTTTAATTTTACCTGTTTATCATTCTACCTGGGTAATATGGACATAGAGCTACCAAAGAAAGATAGATACCTCCTAAAAGTCTTCATGGCAGCGAGCAAAAAAGCCATAATAAGAAGATGGCTCAACACAGAACTCCCACGGTTAGTCAGAGAGAAGCCATAATTAAAGACATCCAAACTATGGAACTACTGACTTTTAGTCTCAGATTACAAAAGGGACAAAGGTAATGCCCTCTGGGAAAATTGTACATCTATATCACGAGAAGAGGTGATAACCTGCCTTAATGCCAGATATATTTTGGTTAAGAAAAACAATGACCATATTACTGTATATATAGTATACGACGATATCAGTGACGACCTACTCACAACCCTATGGTTCTCATGTTTTGTTCCTATGAATGTGCGCATGTGTATATGTTCAATTATATATATATATATATATATATATATATATATATATATATATATATGGATATGTTTATGATTATTTGGACATGTGGTGTAAGTGAACATGTGCATGTATGTGTTCAGGTGCACAGGCGTATGTGTACATATCTACCTTTTGTTTTTCTTCCTTCTTTTTTGTTGTTCCAATAAGGACACTACAGGGTGAGCACTAGAATTATTTTGTCCCATCATATTGTAATTATACCTACTTTTGTTTATTGCATTGATGCTGCCCATGTTTTGTACAAAAAACCTGAAAAATAAAGTTTAAATAATATTTTTTTTAAAAAAGGCTGAGGGTGTAGGTGGTGCACTGTGGGACAGACACCAACCTGTGTGTTTCCTCCGCTAACATAAAGTACAGTGGGGTTGTTGGCTTTTGTGATGAGTCGGCCCATCTCAATGTGTCCAATACAGTGGTTGACACCAAGGAGTGGCTTTCCCCAAAGCTGTGCGACTGTACGGGCCACCAGAGCCACTGTTACCAAGGGGGCACCCATACCAGGACCTGAAAGAGAAGGAGAAAAAAGAGAGAGAGAGGGATTGTTTGTCATGTTGGAGCCGTAAAAACATTGTTTCCACTCCAACATTACTTCCACTTATAAAGAGCCCTTAGCCTAAGCAAAGCTACTTAATAATCAATAATTGATAACTGGTGTAAGTGTTGTCTAGTTAAAGACATGACAGCTTAGTTTTCTGATGGATGTGCTGAATCAGGGCGTCTTTCAGTCAATATATTGTTTCTATTCAATTACAATGTGTTCTCTTTATTCTATATCATTGCTGCTGCTATGCTAACTTCAATAAGTGTAGTAAGTGCGGTAAGTGGTTAAATGACACCAAATTATACTTTTTAACTGTTCTTATTGTCCTCAGCAAGTTATTTGATAAATCAAGTCCTTTTGATCATTTATATTTAATTTAAACATTGCTGCATGCACATTGCTGTTCACTACTGATTTGTTTCCATAGAAACAACTGCAGCAGTACAGTCAGTATCTACACTTACATTTCTTGTAGCTGAAAGGTTAACATGTCCACCCTGTCAGAGGGAAATATTAATGAACTGAATAAATTTGTTGAATAGTACACGTCACTTTCAACAATAAATTACACTGAAGGTCCTCCATGTGTTCACTAAATTCTAACTTTATCCAAAAATGTTGGACATTCTTTTATTTTTTCTTGTAAATGATGTCTTGACCCAGTCACTGTCCACCCTGTCACTGTCCACCCTGTCCACCCTGTCACTGTCCACCCTGTCTACACCGTCAGACTTCCGTGACAGGGTGGACACGTGGTTGTTTTTTTTCCCCGTCTTTCTTCTAGAACCCAATGCCTTTGTCCACACTGTTATGTCGTCCACCCTATCATCTTCTTGTAAATGATGCTAAACTATTATAATTATAATTATTTTCACAATTCAGCAGTCTGCTTCCTGTTCATTTATAAAAAGTGTTATTCTGTTGTTATTCTGACATGATTACCACTTTAAAAACCAATGTCACACTGTGGGGCAATATGTCCATGAACACATACAACCCTAAAACTAGACATGGAAGAAAACAACACAGGAAAGCATCTTCCAATGTCACCTCTAAATGTGTTTCTTGATATTAGACTCCCAACTTTACATCGTAGTCAGTATTGTTTATTGAAAAGAAAAGATCCTAGATACATCCATTTAAACTAATGTTGTGGGGATGAGCACTGTTTAAACTCACATGCCTTGTTTTTTTGTTTTTAGTTCTAGTGAAGATCTGAATGCTTTTAGGTGAAAGTACAACGTAATCCTTTTGTGACCGTTTAAATCTCATTCAATAAGAGCCAGGATCTGGTGTTACCTTTGGTGTACGCCACACAGTCGATGTCTGCAGGCTTCAGCCCTGCTTGCTCCAGCGCCTCCTTCAGGACAGTCAGTATGACAGCACGGTGGTGCCTGGCGGTGTCGCTCGGCATGAAGCCTGATGGGTAAAATAACGTGGTCAGCTTCACGTGCATAGTGTTAGACTGTGATACATTGCCAGTGAGGTGAAGGTGACAATAGTGCTTTAGCAGAAATGTGACTTGCCTTGACCAGGAGGGGTGATGTAGGTCCGTCTAGGGTTGGAAAGCACTTCACCATCCCTGATGATTCCAATGCCGATCTTATTGGCACTGCCCTCAAATCCTATTACTACAGTCATGGCAGCTACAGAAATATTTCTAAGAAAGAGAAAAGCAACATGCAGTAAAGGCTAACGTATTCTGTCTTTGCATGGAAGTCAAGCTGCTTATTGTTACAGCAGTATAGAACACTGTAAAACTGTACTGGTTATTGTTACAGCACAACAGTTTAAAAATGTATTTTCCTTTAACTGCTTCATCTCTCTTGGAAGTGCACAACAAGAAAAAAATGGAAAAGTTTGTCACTCCAGCCATTCCCGCCAGTCAGCCATAGAGGGCGGGTGCTACTTCTGAGGGCAGCTTCCTGATAGCACACTTGCACTGCTTCTTACTTTAAAAACAGACACACAGCCATCAAGGGTTGTACTGTATCTACAGCCGAAGTTCAGACTTCATGGTGAGTTGATTAATAAATGTTTTGCATTATTTCTGTTCCTTAAGTCTTTTCTAAAAGGTAAGACTAACAACCTGAGCTGCTGCTTAGTGGAACTTTTTCCAAAATAAAATGTAACAACAAAGATATGTGGTCAAACTTTAAAACTATTTGGCCCTCATTTGTTTATGGTTTAGGTTCTGCTCATTATTTTAGTTTATTTTCAAGATACAGATTTGAAGATGACAGGGTGGACGGTGTGACAGGGTGGATGACATGACAAGGTTCTTCTATGTTTTTGTTGAGCACTTTAAATTTTAAAGAAAGGTGATATACATAAAATGTATTATTATTGTGCCTTGCATAAGCAAGCACAATACTACTCTTCCCCATACTTATAATATTTTATTCTTCTGTACGTTTTTCGGCGGGCTTCTCCTCCCGCAGTTTTGGTCGCACGTAAACAAAAAAGGTATCAAAACGTGCTGCTCGGTGAGGACATTAGTGCTATAACTTTTCGAAGCGTTTCGCCAAACAGTTTGCCGATAAATCGCCAAAAACCAGTCCAAAAAATGTATGGGTGTGTATTGCGATAACCTCCAACTGAAAAAAAAACGCCGATTCACTTAGAGTGTATGGAGACAGAAAAATTTGTCGAAAAATAAATTTGTAAACTGCTGTCATGGCCACAAATTTCACTTTACCGAAATAACGTTGGGGTCGCAGTGATACCACTGCTGAAGCTGTCAGACAAATAGTTTTGGCGGGAGACGCACTGATGCGCCCTCTCACGGCCCCATCTACTTCCATTTTGATTTTGGAGGACAAATCTTCACAGGAGCTTGTTGAACCTCTTCTCTCTCAATCTCCCCAGGTCACATTTTTTAACTTTAGCCACTGAAACTCGGCAGTGCTATAGTCAACAAGACTATACAACATATGCTGCTTTCCATTTGTCTCGTGAACTCGGAACCTGAGTTGGTAAGTGTAAATCTCGCAGCTATCTCGTGGGGCATGTACGACCCGCAAAACAAAGATGGCAGCGCCCATATTAAGATGTATTTTCTTTGTATTTGTACTATGTTGGTCGTTTTAATGTCGATTTTAAATGCTCCTACACACTTGTTTACATTGCTGCTTCAGTCCGGTCACCAATTTATGCGTTGCACGGTGTTGCTGTACGTGCAATACAATGTAAAGTTTTGTTTTCGAGCTGGTTTGCTAAATAGGCTAATGTAGCTAACAATAACACTAGCCTGCTATTGCCCCTGGTGGCTCGAGACAAACGCCACAGCACTTCTTGAAATTGAAATAGGCGAAAATGGCAAAATATTATTGAAATGTAAGACTTGCAATAACGGAATTACTTGAAATGTTAGTGTTCTGTTGAAAAACGTATTATTATTTCACATTGAGCTTATTTAGAAGAGCCACAAACAATAACAACACAGCTGCTGCACTTCTCTCCGACTCGTATGTGTGCTAGCTCTAGCTAGCTAGCTAGAAGAATAGTTTTCTTTCTTAATTATGTATTATTTATTAATATAAATATTGTTAGTCATATTATTGATAGCATTATTGTTGTTATTATTATTACTATTATTATTTTTATTATTATAACTACATACTTATTATTCCCATCATTGTGGTTATTACTTATTTAGTTACTTTACCTATCTTAATTAAACCATGACGCTTCCTGCGTAATCCCTGGACAATATTATGCCAAACTAAGAAATACTTTAAGAAATACAATATATTAACAATTATTTGTGCTTACCTAATAGCACATAACTGTAGAAACACAAGAAAAAACTCATATCTCAACAGTCTTCTTGCCAATTCGACATCAATATAATACATAAATACAAACTTTTTTGCCGACTTTGTCGCGTCAACAGCTGCTATTTCTATTTGTTATCTCATATGAACACACACACGTTGAAAGCTTGATTTGTCACATACCTAAGCAATGGTAGAGGTCACATACTGTAAACTACAGTGTCAGTAATGTATGGGCCAGTGTCACGGGCCAGAGCAAGGCACAATCAAAATTTCTTTAGGAATTTTCTAGTTATTATTTAATGCTTAAGTTCATTTAAGTGCTTGTATCTAATGAAGAGCTCACTGATCTATTAATCTAAGCCGGAAAACCCCGTTTCATCTAGACCAGTACTTCTCAAATAGTGGATGAGGGGGGCGACAGGCAGCTGATGGAGGAGGAGAGATGGAGA